GGAAGAAAAGAAAAGAAGAAATGGGGTCAAATTGAAAATTTTAAAATATATAAAATTCGAATTTGGCCCTAATGACCGGAAGTTAACCTAGAAACGGGCTAATGGCTCATTAGTGAAAGGATTGTGTAAGTTCAGGGATTTTTGTGAAAGGATTTGAAGTTCAGGTACCACTTCGAAATTCCAGCTAAAGTTCAGGTACCATTTGTGAAATTTACCCCTCTTTTTTACTCTATTCATAATTCATACCAACAATATTATTCACACTATTAGATTTTTTTCATTTATTTTATTATTGAGATTAAATTTATAACTATTTTTTAAACTAATTTTTTTAAACTTAACCTTCTATTATTAAATTTTACGTTTGTGATTTCTAGTTTATGAATACTTTTTTCACGAATAATTTTTTGTTTAATCTTTTATCATGTTAAATTGAAAGTTAAATATATAATTTTACATTAATCATAGACCAACAGTGTATTCTGGTGTTGTTTGACAAACAACGTACCAACAACGACTATATGTGCACACTTAGATTCCGACCATTGTAGACTATGATTGCAGTGGGTGGCTACTTCACCAGAAAAAGATCTTTGGCTTTGGCTATAACAATGAGAATGTAGGGTATGTACGTGCGAAATTACATTTTTACTCTCAATTCAATATCAACATGATGGAAGCTCAAAAAAAGACCATTTGTGTAAAAGTACCCATAAACAAAAGAACACGAACGTAATATATGATAATAGAAGACTAAATATGAAAAAAATCTCAAATTTGAAGAATCGTTTGTAGAATTTACTCTTTATTTTTTTTCACTACTCATTTTATAATATAATACTCCCTCCGTCCCAGAGTATTTGTCCACTTTCATTTTTGCACACTATCCAATGCACTTTTTTAATGGGAGAAATACGAATATAGCACTTTAATAGGCTTATAATACGCAAAATAGCAGTGGTATAAGTTTTTGAGATGAGTTCCCAATATTACCCTTAATTACACAAATTTGTATTATATATACACTGCCACAATATATATACTGCCACAATATATCTACACTGCCACAATATATACACTGCCATAATGTTAGCCACAATATGTACTTCCAAAAATTCAATGTCCGAAATACACTGCCACAATATATGCACTGCCAAAAATTCAATGTCTGAAATACAATGTCACAATATATACACTGGCACAATATATCTACATTGCCACAATTCGGGCAATCACAGAGTATACTTCTCATAGTTCCTAAGAAAATATTTTAGTTTGTTTATGAAGAAAATTAAATAAATATACCTTCTGAGAAGAACAATGATTCTGAGATTTTTGAGCAAATTCATGCCGATAACGTGTTGTAGAATGAGAGAAAAACTACTCAGAGATTAAGAGAATAGATATAGTATAATACACTGCCACAATATATACACTGCCACAATATATACATTGCCATAATGTTAGCCACAATATGTACTTCCAAAAATTCAATGTCTGAAATACACTGCCACAATATATGCACCGCCAAAAATTCAATGTCTGAAATATAATGCCACAATATATACACTGCCACAATATATCTACACTGCCACAATATATCTACAATGCCACAATATAAAGCTTCCATGAGTATCCCATGTCCAATCAACACG